GGTTGGCTCCACTTTTTAACCGATTTTTTTACTATAGTACGTGAGGGTAATATTGTCATCCGGTTAATATGGTCACTTTATAATAACTTCAAAAACTACAGCGTTGTTTGCATAGATGGCTTTGTGATACGATAGCTCTTCATCAGTCAATCAAATAATGAAACGTCAAAAGGGCGTTGCTATATCGACGCAATTTTGACATTTGACATTATAAAATAAATATAAATGTTTTAGTCAATTTTAGTATGGTGTAGTGTAGTTAGTTTTTTAAGTAGACTTTTCGAAGTGTTCCTAATTATTTCCAAAGCTTGTTTGTTTTTTTATATATTATTTATGGTATACCACTTTGTATTTTTGTCTCTGACCTACTCATAGATTTGGTTTTATAGGGCGGCAAAGCTTGAGATGACCATATTACCCTTACGTACCTTATAACTATTAATATAATATACAAATGGTAGCTCCGGTATATGCGATCCCCGCCGGCACCAATATAATGGTTAATTGCAATTTTAAGTGCTAATTTGCTACGTGCTCGTTGGTGAAGGAAAACATCGTTAGGAAACCTGCATATCTGAGAATATTTCAGTCTTGTGAAGTTCCTCAACACGCATTGTGGCAGCGCGGTGGTCACTTCCTTACCCTAAAATCCTCTCAGAAGTGAGAGGAGGCCTGTACCCTGCTGTAGAACGCATATAGGCTGTAGATTTTACTTTTAAATTAATAAAAACTCTATTAAAACATGCAAGATAATTTCCGTAAATACTGCTACGGCAATGGAAATGCCGCCACGGCAATTTTTAGTAATGGCAGCTCTGTTTCCACTGACAGTATCTTACCGTTACAGCCTATCAAAAATCCACTGCTGAAGAAAGGCCCCCAAGGGGCTCCCTTAAGGCAACACATACAACACATACACACACACACACACACACACACACACACACACACACACACACACACACACAAACACACACAAAACACACCCCACCACACACACACACACACACACACACACACACACACACACACACACACACACACACACACACACACACACACACACACACGCACACACACACACACACACACAGCGCGAAGAACACACAGCGCACGCACGCACGCACGCACGCACGCACGCGCATGCACGCATACATATTCTCGCATTCTCACACTTATACACATACTCACAAGTTATGTATGTAAAGTTTATTTAGCTTAACTTTCTTTTATGTTAAAACTTTTTTCTTATTAATTATGTAAGTATTTTTAAATCTCGTAATATTGTAAAATGAGTTGAAGAGCGAGCCATCCCCAATACGAGTATTGAAATTACTCTCTGAGGCGTCTCAAAGATATTTATTTATTATTTAACGTATGGGGATTTGTCATAGTTGACACACTTTGCAGGTGGCTTGGATACTGCAGATTTTTTAGAAGCTTGATGTTTGTTTCGCCATGTTGGTACCTTAGAATTTATGCTCTAAATCCAAAGCCGTTACACAAAAATATAAATAAGTACATATTATCCGTAACCGTTACCGTTACAGCTTATCACAAGTCCACTGCTGAACATAGGCCTCCCCCATAGAGTACCTCATGGGGGAATATTTTCTATACTATCGGCTACGCTTAGCATGCGGGTTAATATTTTTTTTATAGAATAAGGGTGACAAACGAGCACACAGTCCACCTGATGGTACGTGGATGCTGCGGCCCATAGACATCTACATTTATCCTCGACTAAGAATCAAAACGCAGATGCGTTGTCACCCCTGAGGACTAAAATGGAATGCCTCGTTTCCAGTAAAAAAGGGTCTCCGGATCTCTACACCCACCATACGAAATAGCAGCATTAGGTAAGCTGCTATTTTACGCTAGTATCCTGTGAGAGCGTGGTCCTTCCCCGGTCGAACCGGCACATTTGTGCTACAAACATAATATAGCTGCAGCGTGGCTCTACCACGTATAAATACCATAGTTCGTTTGTTATTTCAAATTTTATTAAAAAATATTATCGCTCATTTTTATTCATAGCTCTATGTTCGCGCAATCACGTCCAACACGTCCTTTGTGCTATGACACGTACGAGTTCATACATTTGTGAAAATTATTGAAGTAATATATTGTCACAGTCTCTTAAAATTTAAACTGCTAAATTGCGCTGGTATTCTGTGAGATAGTAACCTCAGTTTTTTATTATTTTTGAGTTGTAATCAGGAAGATGCTGCTGCCCATCTCCTGATATGTTTCCCTCCATGGGTTAGTGGATATTCTTACACCGCCACTACACGGGTCATTAATTCAATCCAATTATTCATTAAATCCAATTTCTACTTATTTCACCACAGTAAAAAGACCTTTGTCGCATAAATGAGACTTTAAGGATAATTGCGGACATGTTTGGGCTTAAAGAAATTACACGAAGTTCGCCTGAAATGTAATATAGTGAATGCGTAGCGTGCGGTCGGGTCGCGGCCTTGATTAAGATTCCCGATGCAGGAAACAAAACATCATATATGGACATGGCATAACGTTTTCAAATTGTGTAAAGTATTTTTTAACTTAGTAAAGTTCATACTTACCATATACTGGATGATTTCTTTAGCGTCTGGAAAAACTAGTGTGTAACAGGTCAATGGAATGCCCTATGGCACTAATATTTTACTTTTTTATGTATTTTTCATTAACATAGTATTATAAAATTGATCTATCAATAAGTACTTAATATTAATGGGGTACGCACTATTTTAATTTCGATAGTTTTTAATTGATTTATTAATTTAGTTCTTCAAAAATTTAGTTGTTATTTTTTTTAGTACCGAAAGTTTAGAAAGTCAAATAAGTTAGTATTTACTGATAGATCAATTTCATAATATGTTAAATAAAATAAAAAAAGATTAAATATCAGTGCCATAGGCTTCTATTCCGTTCACCTGTTACACCCTATTTTTCCAGACGATAAAAGAAAATCATCATCTATATTTAAAACGTGTGTAAATGTCGCTGTGAAGCGTGATTTGTGGCCTTCCATCCCGGTCCAGTACTTCAGTACTTTTGGATTTGTGAAGGGCTGCAATGATGATGATGATGATGATTATGAAACTTAGGGTGTATTCGATTTATTCTTACCAAATATTATGTAATGAGATATCGAAAAAAAATTTCGAATGTTGTGTTTTAACAATATTATACATAAGTATATCAATATTAATCAATATCTTGTTACGTGAAAAATCTCACTACTGTTTTTTTTTAAATAAGAAATTATTGCCTCATCGGACTTTTGTTGTAGCTCGTCGATGAAACATGCAAATGTTAGGGGCGTGCTCGTCATACCGCTTATAAAACTTAGCTAAAGAATTTCCGAGGATTTGTTTAACTTATATTTTTGGTTCTTTGTCCGCTATACATTTTACAACATGTTGGTGTTCAAAAGCCTATATATTATGAACCTCTATAAGCTAGTCCTCATATTTAAGACCTTTTTATATCCCTCTATATATTATGTCACTGCTCGACTTCCTCGTTGGTGGCAGTCCTGATTCGTTAAATTTGTAGGTTTGTATATTAAGCTGTATTTCACTTTCAACAGCACCTTGGCAACAATCTCTACTCTGTGCGACTGTTTAAACACAGACTATTAAGTATTAAGAGAGTTTTATCAAATATACGTAATTATCTTAATATATTGGTATAAATTACGTGTCACGTTGTTTGTCCGCGATGGACTCCTAAACTACTTAACCGATTTTGATCAAATTTGCACACCGTGTGCGGTTTGGTCCAACTTGAGAGATAGGATAGTTTTTTTTGCCCACAATTTTTTTTGCGAATTTAACAATTTTTAATAGGACATGAAAAAATGTCGTCGAAAAGAGCAGAATAACGTCTACCTGGCAAGCTAGTATTATTATGTATATTCGATAAAATGTTTTGCTGGTGAAATTAAAAATACGGACACGGAGAATAATGACACCTTTATTTTTCATATAAATATTACTTTTAATAATCATAAACATTACATAATTAGATACATTATAGAAAATTATTTTTACATCCGACTTAAATATGAAAAAAAAAACAACTTAAGTACTTTTAGGAATCAGTTAAATAAGGTTTGTTCTGTTTAAAGGCCAATAAGTAACTGTAAATAATTTGTTTAAAGTAATAATTTTGAAATGTTTTGCTGGTGAAATAAAAAACGGAGACCCTCTCTCGCAGTCGACATAGAATAAGAATAAAACCTGCAATTATCGTGGCGCTATGATGTCAAGTACGCTAGCTGAGGTCCTATTCACTGAATTACTATACTTAACCTCTACGCGGTATGCGCCTCATGAAAAACCAGTGGCGGATCTAAATATAACTTCCAGAAGCCTTTATTTAACTTCATTTATACTTACAATTTCCTAGCTTCTATCATCTAAGTATGTATCATATAACCTAACATCCACTTACAATAAGTTTATTCTTAATCAAGAATAGTTGTAGATGTCTTTAGGCCACAACATCCACTTGCCATCAGGTGGATTGTGTGCTAGTTTGTCATACTTTTTTTTATAAAAAAAACATTAAAATCGACGTGGTACAAAAACAGTTAAGCCGTTTTTAATGCAGTTCTGATTTTTTTATACAAAAATTTCATTGAAATTTCATTTTTTAAAACACTGAAGTGAAAAACGAAGTTATGGTTACGTAATGGTAATTAAGTGGCTATTGCACTCCATGGACATCCGGAGCCAACTTTAAATAAAGAATATTTTAGCTCGGATGAAGTAAAAAAAGGCCACAGCAACCACTTACCATCGGGTGAACTGTGTGCTCGTTTGTCAACCTTATCCTATAAAAAAATGTATGAATGAATTTTTCGAATCGTTAAAACTTGCTTAAAACTTAATATAAACATATTTTTCCTTTGTTACAGATATGCATTTCAAGAGGAATGGTATTGTGGTGATTAAATTCAACGTATAAGTGAAAAATAAGAAGATATCAAAATGGCGGAAGCGGAAGGCGGTGCGAGTGAGCAGGATGATGTTTCATTTTTGCGTACGGTGAGTTATTTTGATTTAATAACTTATTAACTCTACAAGTGAAATAAAATACGTGTGTTTCACCAGTTTCCTGAGACCCTGAATGGTTAATGCGCGAAGGCTGTGACAGAATAGCAAGAGTAATTGACTTTTTGTTACAACTGGGTCACAGATCGTTTTGTCCAAGTAATTATTATGTTGTTTCTGTTTAAGTCGCTCTATGTCTCACAGAATACCAGCTTAAAATAGTAGCTTAATGCTGCTGTATTTCGTATGGTGAGTGTAGAGAACCGGAGACCCTTTTTACTGGAGACGGGGCATTCCATCTTAGTCCTCACGGGTGACAACGTATCTGCATTTTGATTTTTAATCGAGGATAGATGTCTATGGGACACAGTAACTACTTACCATCAGGTGAACTGTGTGCCCATTTGTCACCCTATCCTATAAAAAATGTTTCAATAAATACTTTTTACTTTACTTTTACAAGTGACTGCCTTGTTGGTCGTTGGTCGTTAGCGCGACTGTCAATCTTGTGGTCTCGGGTTCAAATACCGAGTCGAGACCAAAATCAGTCATTAGATTTTCGCAAACGACCTAAAACCTAATACAATCTAGTCTATACAAAACATCTCAAAAGATTTACATAAATTAATTAGTTAATAGAAACAAAATCGCCCTCAATGCTAGTTTAGCTTTTGCGCAGTAACAGGATTTACTTTAAATTAATGAACAATAAATAAACCACCTTGCAAGAATTATGAGCTCTCTACTTTATCTCGGCATTTGCAATTGAATTTATTCACGAACTCTCGGTGAGGCCTTGACCTGTAAATTCAATAATGGAAGACGCCTTCAAGCAATTTCGGCTTTAACAAGAGCAAAAATTTTATTTTTATCTATAAAGCTTTCTTTTATGAATTTATAATGTTTCTCGGTCGATCGGCTTTTCTCTGAAAAAAATTTAATTTAATATAGTAATAAAGTTGTAATATAATGGAGCATTATTTGGCTATAGAGAGTTTTCACTATGTGGAGTGCAGAAATAAAATAACCAATTTGCAAAAATCATAATAATTTAAAATATTTGTTTCCAAAGGTAATTTATATTATTGTAAACCATTGAGCTAAGTACATATTACTTCAATGTTGTAAACACATATAATCTGTTACACTTTCCTCACATTTGTTTGCTATGTCATTATTTGCTTATTATAGTAGCTGCGCGTATAATTTAAGAAATCACTGTTTGATTGATTTATAATACTTCAGTACGCCAGCGCATGTGGATAAAGCAGTTCGAGAGCACCATTTCTTACGACTTGCTTAACAAAAATAAATACTTAAGGTTTGCTGAGAGGTGTAGTTTAATGCTAGTCTATACTTTTTCTCATGAATCTAGCTATCGTATACAAACATATTTTTTCTAATCGGACTGGGAGTTTCAGAGAGTAGCGTGTTTTAAACAAACAAAAAAACTATCTTATTTTACACTAGTATAGATTTTATGTATTTATCCATGTTTTGGTATGCATATGATGGGATCATATCATTAAACAATAAGAACTTGTCTATTAGTTTAGTGGCATGAAGAGCTGCTGGAACAGTTGGTGGTTGTTCACAATCGCCACTTGAACACCATAATCTTTACCTTGATTTTATTTTTTCTTACTTAAGGTGAAATATAACCTCAAATGGCTTAGCAAGATCCTCCGTTATGCCGAAAGTATTGCAGCAATAATTTTGAAATAAATATATGGTAAAGTTGAGGATTAATGTTAAGGTTTATGTTAGACGAAAACACGATTCCGTAAAATTTTCTCGATAGAAAAAAAATCCAAAGTTACCTCCAAACTGAACAATAAACCGCTGTTATTCATAAAATACTTTAAATAAGATCATGAAACTTTGCATACTAACTGAACTAACCATAAAGCAGTGCTTATGTTATTTACTTTTTTTAAAATATCATTATTTTCACTGTAAAAAGAAATTACCTAAACTATCGGCGCGTAAACTTGGTTCCTGTCGCTGCGGAGCGACAGGAACCAATATTTTATGAATAACAGCGGTTTATTGTTCAGTTTGGAGGTAACTTTGGATTTTTTTTCTATCGAGAAAATTTTACGGAATCGTGTTTTCGTCTAACATAAACCTTAACATTAATCCTCAACTTTACCATATATTTATTTCAAAATTAATGCTGCAAAACTTTCGGCATAACGGAGGATCTTGTTAAGCCATTTGAGGTTATATTTCCCCTTAACGACAATGAATCAAGACTGTTTTCATCAGTATGTTAAACGATTGTGGCCAGGTCCTGATTTATATTTTAGACCAAAATTTCCTAACGGAAATGCGCACGTCTTCTAGGCAATTAACAATAAGAAAAGCAAGGCAGCTGTTTACGACCTCAAGTGTTTTTCTAGGAAATTTCGGCGCCTCATACTTTTATCCATCCATCATATAGTGCATTCTCGTATAGAGTGCCCAGAGTTACTAAGGCTAATTAACTTCAATTCCGGTATACTACAACGTGTTCAAAGAATTTTCGGGTTAGACGTACACAAGAATAACACTTCCCTTTTCAACCCTGTTGTCAAAATGTGCCGTGATTATGACGAGATTAAGCGTAGTAACGTACATATAGATATATTCGATAGTAGCATGGTTAGATTTAAAAGAAATTTACGTGTTTCTCTTAACATTTAATGTATTTGTCATCTGTTTTATTTTTGCTAAGACTGAGATTATACTGTAGTTATATTATTATGCTGTGTACACTTTTTTCAACACAAATATAGGTACTTTTAATTTTTATTTTTTCTTTATATAACTACTGTTTATTTGTGTACCTTATTCAATAAAATGAAATGATAGGTAATAAATATGAACGTATTTCTTGGTAATAGAGAATAATTGTTGGGCTATAAAGACTGTATCGTGTATGTATTTTGGTTCTTAGGTGGGTTTTTAGGTAAATCCACCAAATTGGGCTTATTTCTGCGTTAATATATATAGATTTTTTAATGATTTTTTACCGTTGTGCTAATTTTTGAAACTATTATGTGGAATACAATAGGTATAATTCTAATTCAGTTTTCACACACTTCCAGACGTCATTTTTATTTGTAAATTTGCAGACGTATTAAGAGGGTAGACGGGCTGCATTTTTTCCATACAAATGTTTTCTTCCTCGCTAATGCCTCTAGTCTAGAGTAATCGTTTTTGTTTATAATAATCTAGATCTATTGAAGGCATGCCCCCGTCATTTGCTTTTTTTTTCAAAAAATTATTACAAAAATAAATATGACCTTCCAAAAACCTAAAAAAATACCCCGTTTTTACCTCCGTAATCGGACGACTACCAAAGAAATTTGAAAAGTTTTTAAGCAAATGATAGAAGTATACATTTATTCCTCCTTTAAATTTTGATACCAAAAATAATTTAATTGGCTTAGTTTTCGAATAGGAAACCAAGGAATACGAAACGACGATCGGTCATGGTTTTTGTAGGTAAAATGGTTTTGAGCTGCATTTGTCCCTATCGCACTCTTCGGGTGGAGACCAGAGGTGAGGGACGGCAATAGTTTCTTCAAATGCCTACTTTTCAATTCCCGCACAGACCGTCAACCGTCCTAACAATTGATGACAATACAATAATTTCGTGAATATGACCTAGTATTCGCACTGGAACCATTACAGCTTAGCTCACAATGTTATCATTGCGAATTGCGCTCATCCTTCTAAGTACAAAACATTGTCGTTTGCGTGCTCGCATAACTCAAGGTAAGTCCTTAATTGCATACAACTGGAACAAGCGCTACAAAGAGCTACGAAATTATGCCTGAGCTTTGGAGTCCGATTTCATCCCTGTGATCACATAGAGTCAACATTAGAATGACAATCAGGCTGCTAGCTCGGCAGGCAACCTGATTTAATTTTCCATCAGGGTGCTGCTATAAATTGTATGAACGACAACGATAATATTGCCCTCTCGCTTGCACTTACTGGTCTTATGGAAGGCCATACGAAGTGCAGATCGTTAACGCTAATCGCCGGTTTATTGTACAGAAAATATTAAAAATTATTACGAATATATAATCTTGTTTTTATATTTTCCTAAAAAAAGTTTTGCTTTCTGAACAGAGTTTTTAGTCGTTTTGTTGGAGCCAATGTTGTATTGCGGCTTTAGTTGAAGATGATGCTGATGGAACATTCATTTGTTTTGTATTATGACGACTTAAATTTATACGTGGTAGAGCCACGTAGCAGCTATATTATGGTTATAGCATGAATGGGTCGGCTCCACCGGGGAAGGACACGCTCTCACAAAATAGCAGTATACTGCTGTGATTCGTATGATGATGAGTCTAGTGATCGGGAGACCCTTTTTTACTGGAAACGAGGCATTCTATCTTAGTCCTAAGGGGTGACAACGCATCTGCGTTTTGATGGGCCACAGCATCCACTTACCATCAGGCGGACTGTGTGCTCGTTTGTCACCTTATTCTATATATAAAACATACACCCTTATTCTATATATAAAAAAACTAAATGCTCCTCTAGGCTTTTGAGTAAATTTAAATCTTGTCAATAACTTTGGCGTCTACTATAACTTGTGGACACTGTAGACACCTTTAGTGCAATTTAAACACAGAAGGGTGCTGGTGGTTGCCAGTTTTGAGAGTTTAGCGTCTATCCAGATTTAGCACATATTCTTCCTCTGTCACTCCATGGTCGTCAAAACGGGGAGGTTTGCCACTATGTCTGATGATATGAACTAAATAACTTATGGTGATCCATTCAGGGGTCTTGGGATACGGTTTTTTTATAGAAAAGGGGGCAAACGAGTATGCGCCTCACCTGATGTTAAGTGACTACCGCCGCCCATGATCTACCGCAACACCAGGGGAATTGCAGGTGCGTTGCCGACCCTTTAGAAGGGAGTATGCTCTTTTCTTGAAGGTCCCCAGGTCGTATCAGTCCGGGAAAATCGCCGGTGGTAAACTATTCCACAG